ATTGGGATTTGATGTCACTACGAAGGTGTCTCAACTTGATTCACAGAATCGATCTTTTTTTGTATAATGTCGTACGTACATGTACGTACCTAGAGAACATTCATTCAAACGCTCAAAGGTCAAAGTTCTCTCATTATTAAAGATGTATGTTTATTTCTAAAATTCTGCAATTGCGCAGGGATAAAAAACCTCATAATATAATATAGTGAAGAAAAAAAAAATTGTCTGCATGTACGTCCCACAGGAAACCAGACTTTGGGCTTTACGCGCTTTTTTTAAGGGTTTTAAAAGCCACTTTTGGGGTCAAGTGAGAGGAAACTAGGGTCATAGGCCTAACTGTTTGAATTTTCAAAATCGGACAACTGAAATATGACCATTAAAAAATCTTTTGTATTTTATTTTGTTGGCTAAAGGTCGTGGGAAAAATTTGCATGTACCGGTATCTGCCTTGTTTACATACTAGGTTTACAAAACGGAACAGCCCAAGTAATCCTATTTGATGTCATACACCAATCACGAAAAGGAGGAACCATCACGTAATACGTTGCCCCCCCCCCCCCACACCAATCAACAAAATGATACATCACCACGTTTTTTGATTTAGCTTTGCTAACTACCATACCGTATTATTAGCAAGCCAAAATTTGTTACTACATAAAACAGTCACTGATCCAGTGCAACTTGTTTTTCTTCTGTCAACGATGGTGACATCACACAAGCCCTTAACGGAAGAGCAGTGAAAAGGATTGAACAACTTAGCAAACACATTTAATTGCAAGCGGTAAGTTTTCAGACTATTTTGCTCTTTTTTTCTTCAAAATTACCGCTTGTTGGGAACAATTTAAGGGCTCTTATTGAATGTCACGAATGTGTAGCTCTATCCAGGGTAACTGTCTTTCTCATTTGTAATCTCTTTATAGTTTTTTTTTGGGGGGGTGGGGGGGGGGGCTTTTGTCTTCGCGTGGGTATGTTCAAAATGCTACCGTGTACCAGTCACAAAAGTACCGGGTATGCCGATATGGTGGAGCGCTATTAGGAGTACCCCTAGAACTATGGGTCTTATTACACAATACCCATACCATACATGTAAATGTAGGTAAGCATATCAACGCGAACATGCTGTATACTCTATCAATAATATACAGTCAACCTAGTCCGAGTAACTTGGACCCAACTTATCGCCTTTTTAACATTCGGACATGACATGGTCTGGCGATAGTAGTCGGGAACTAGTAGTCGGGAACTAGCTTGAACGGGTTTCCGCTCATGAAAGCTGCCCTATTTCCCGAGTCCATATCATCATTCGAAATGCACTTGAGTTTTCAAACGAGATCCAGTCTACTCATTATCATAATCGATGCATCGCACTCAGTAACACAATCGCACTTGGGATACAGGGACCTTTGAAGGAACGCTGGGCACAACCACATCACGTTTTCAAACACGAGTCGGAAATTTAACGTGTTCACGAACACGAGGGGAGCTCTCACTCTCAGAATTGAACGGGAAATTTCACTTGTCATCAGGATCGTAAGTAAACTTTACTAAATGTCAATCTCTAATTGTACCTCAAGTGGCATATCTAGTTATTTGAAGGCCATTTTGAGGGTGAAATCTAATGTTTTTGTTGGGCAATGTTGGGTTTTTGGGTCAATGGCAGAATTGTGTTGCAGAATTGCGCGATGGCAGCGGTTTAGCTTGGACCCTACTATCGCCAGACCATGTCCGAATGTTAAAAAGGCAATAAGTTGGGTCCAAGCTACTCGGACTAGTCAACCTAGAGTTGAGTTTTGGAGTGGCCGCTGTATATTTTAGCCCAAGCATATAGATGCCCAGTACTTCTTGCCATACTCTTGTTCTGTTCGCTTAAAATTTAAGAGTTGAATCGATCCTGATGGTGCAAAAAAATGATGAAAACAGTACCATTTCTGTACCGAAGCGAAGCTACAGTTTGAGTTTTAACGTTAACATGAATGCGAAGCGTTGTTGTCGTGACGTCACAGTCTTTTGGTCTGGGAACCAACCACAGACACCGTGTACATGTATATAGTGCATATTGCAGGCGGCGTCAGACTGTCAACTGATAGTATTATAGCGCGCAGCCATACAGAATGGGCGAATGAATTGTACAAAAAAAACAGCCGTCGCATCGCAACTCGCACGCCTGAGCGACAAGATCGATTTGCATAAAGCGCAACGTCACAGCTTCGGTCATACTAATAAGCTTCAACACAGTGTCAACACATCGTCAACACAGCGTCAACACCTCCAAAATGCATTGAAATTGTCAAAACCAGTCTTAAAACCGTACAGTATGGGCAAAAATGAAATTTGGCTTAAAATCAATAGGTTAAACGTCTGAAAATTGCAATTTTCAGTTCAATAAATTTGGCTATCCGTGCAGAAACATGCAGCTCTGAAATCGGCAGCCATCTTGCCTCGGGGCCAGCGTGGACAATACCATTAGCAAAAGTGGTGATAGCATCATACAATCAATCAATAGAGGGCGGTCATTAAGTGTGAATTCGCATACAACATGATAATTTCATTACCTGCATACCCATATCTGAAAATGTGTAGCCCAAGCTCCGTCCGAAGGCAAGATGGCGGACTCGACAACGAAAGTGCTGCTTAGAGATCATTATTTGGGGTAAAAAAATCCATTTTCGTAAACGAAATGTAACCTGTGACACACCGAAAATCTCTTTAAGTCTAAACTTTACAGTTCTATGCCTTTTTTGTCAATTTACAATGCATTGTGGAAGTGTTGATGGTGTGTTGACGCTTCTATCATGTGCTGTGTTGACGCTTATTATTAGTACGACCCCACAGCTTTGGGGTCATCGCTTTTTACATTCAAAATGGCTGCCATTAACTGACAATTTATGTGGGCATATGTGCTCCAGAAAGATGCAACAATTTCTCCAAATGTTAAAAAAGGCGATTCGTAGAGTCCTAGTTACTCCCTCGGGCACAATTGCAGAATACCCCGCCACTCGATCTATGCACCTCGTAACCTGCTACGGAGTCACATTTGATTGCCCTAAAAAAAGTCAGCGCTACCTGTAGTGTACGTACTAGGCCTACACATGTCATGCTCCACTGCACTCCCACTCCTTATCCGCGTAGCCGTCAACAGAGTAGTTGGCTTGGGCTAAGAATTTTTTCAGCAACTCCCATTCCTTTTGTGTTGCTTCGTTCTCAAGCATATCAAGGGACTCCCACTTCCTGTGTAGCCAGCATGAGGGTAATGGTTTGGACTTAAAACATTTTCAGCAACTCCCGTTCATTTTGTGTTGCTTTGTTCTCAAGGGGACCCCAACTCAGTATCTGCGTAGCTGGCAATGGACTTGAATTGTTTCTTTTTCAGTGATTCCAACCGCGTAGCCTGAGATTTTAGGGGTGTATTTCCGAAGTGGAGTATGGGGTATTCTGCAATTACTCCATATGTTGTTTCTTTTCCAGTGATTCCAACCGCGTAGCTAGCCCCATAAATGTGGCCAATTTAAAGGCCACACTTTCACCATGTACAAAAACATAGGAACTTTGTCAAATTTTTTATTTTCACATTTAGGCTTACTTTGCAGTTTATTTTTGCTTAGAACCATACTCACCCTGTTAATATTCAGAAAGTGCTGCCTTTTTCAGATGTCTGATTTTGTGAAATTTCATATTGAAATCTGGATACGCAAATGTGTGCAAACGAAACTGAAAATTTCACGAAAAAAAGACATCTCAAAAGGCAGCACTTTCTGATTAGCCTATAGTCAGACAGGCCTAGTAATTATAAAGAGGGTGAGTAATCTGAAGCAAAAATAAACTACAAAACTAAGCCTAAATGTGAAAATCAAAATATGACAAAGTTCTACAATAGGCCTACATGTTTTTGTACATGGTGGAAGTGTGGCCTTTATTTACAGAACTGGTCCAGTAAATTGGCCACGTTTATGGGGCTACCGCGTAGCCAGAGATTTTGCTTTTTAGGGGTGTGTTTGCGAGTGGGGGGGGGGGGTAAATCTGCAATTACTCCATGTGGCCACATGTCGGACTATAGCCCCATAAATGTGGCCAATTGGAAAAAGTTCCATACTCGGACGTCACTTTTTTCAATTAATTTTCTAGCGCCAAAAGTTACATCTTTTATGGTTATTCCTCCACTTTCCCTCCTCTACTCTCACCCTCTCCTTTCCTTAATTTCTATTTATTAATCAGTACAGTCAGTTACTTCATCGGGATTCGAACCTCTGACGCTTGCTTGATACACGAGACTCTTAACCGCTAGGCCGCGCACGATCGCTGTTGCAATAATCAATCTTTGGACGCATTTGAAGTATCCATTGAAATAAACTAAATATTCATGAGAAAATAAATATTCATAATGACGTTTGCACTATCATTGGCAGGCTCATGCGACGTCATGGTTGTTGATGTCACGTGTATAACGTACCGCTGTCTTTCAGCCACTACGATAAGTTTTGACCGGCTGCTTCAAGTTAGTTCTGCACGACGTATGCATCCAAAATGTGCTCTAAAAACACATTTTGAGTAAATTTTTTTCACCTTTACACAGCTTCCTGGATTTCTCTTGGTTCAAATGATAAGGTGAGGTGACAATTAATATGTTTGGCAGCAGATAAATTGACATCCGAGTATGGAACTTTTCCCTATTTTAGGCTTAGTTTGCAGGGTTTTTTGCTTTAGAAGCATACTCACCCTCTTTATAGGCTAATCAGAAAGTGCTGCCTTTTTCAGATGTCTATTTTTGCCTTGGGTGAAATTTCCAGATTCATCTGCACACGTTTCCGTATCAAAATTTCGACAAGTTTGACACGTTTTTGTAGGCCTACATGTGGAAGTGTGGCCTATGTTTACGGAGGTAGTCCAGTAAATTGACCACATTTATGGGGCTAGTCGGACTACACTACAGTCATGACATGCATGACATCATGGAGCAAGGAAATATGCGTTGCAATTTTTGATCCTTTTTTTAATATACCTACCATCATGACCTTTTTTCGGGAATTTTTCGTGCTAAATGGTGATGCAGTCCACTACTTGTAGAAAAGTATACCTTCGTACAGATCAATTCTGGTCTGTCAATCACTTTCCTTCCAAATTGCAGAGCAGAGTGGTTTGACTTAAACTCAGTGGCTGTGCAGCTAGTACGGCGAATGTCGCGAACCGCGATGCGCGATATCATATACCATGTACATGTACTAGTATACGGGCCGGTGTCGTGTAAAAAACCGTCCGGTGCCAAATAGTGTCCGCTGAGCATGCGCAGTAGGCGCCAGACACTATTTTATACATGCCAAATAGTGTCCGGTGCCAAATATGTCCGGTGTCACGGTCTCACTTCCCCGGCGTGCTAGCTTCTCCGGGTGGATTCGGCGGACAGTCGATCGAGCGAGAACAAGGGCGAAAAATCGGACAGTATTTTGCAGGAAAAATCGGACAGTATTTTGCAAGGGGGAATCGGACAATATTTGGCAGGGCGGGGAATCGGACAGTATTTGTTGGTAGGAAAAATCGGACAATATTCAGTGGCGGGGGAATCAGACAATATTTGGCAGGGGAAATCGGACAGTATTTAGCAGGGAAAAATCGGACATTTTTTTCGCAGGGAAATCGGACACTATTTGGCAGGGGGAATCGGACACTGTTTAGCAGGAAAAATCAGACAGTATTTGGCAGGAAATATTGGACAGTATTTGGCAGGGGGAATCGAACAATATTTGGCAGGACGAATCGGACAGTTTGGCAGGAAAAATCGGACAATATTTGGCAGGAAAAATCGGACCGTATTAGGTGGGAGAAACCGTAAAATATAACGTTGGTTATAATGCTATACAGCACAGTACTACTACACACACTTCACACGGCGTGTACGTACTGCACGCCAAACAGGTGAACTGACGCGGGAAAAAAAAAAACAGATAACAAGGAAAACGTTAACAGATTGTAAAAAGCAAATTCAGGTGAAAAGAGATCTTTTCTATACGATGTATTGACAGCTCGACAAGGCACGCAATAGGATGCCCGCTAAGCGCGGACACTATTTGGCAATTGGCGAGCGTCCGTAAACAATGTGACGTCATAGACGCATGACAGATCAGAACGCATTATGCTCATTAGCGGACACTATTTGGCACCGGACGGTTTTTGGCACGACACCGGAGTGTACGCCCGCTCCGTGTTGAGTGCGTTCGATTACTTCCCCCAGCTCACTCGCGCCCAACCTCGTCCCCAGGGTGTCGAGCAGTACGCACCCACCACTACCTGCTCTCTGGGGACGAGGTTGACTCGCGCCTGGCTCCTGGCGTGATGATAGACATGCGCAGTTGAGCTAAATAAACGAATGGTTTCATCAGGTAAAGTTTCGTGCAAGAGCTGGAAACATGGGCGTCGCCAGGATTTTTTTCTAGAGGGGGGCAAAACATATTTTCCCAACAAAAAATCCTTTTTCTCTCAACATGTTCTCGATTTATCAGTTTAGAAGGCAGGGATATTTTCCCCGCCCCCCCCCATTAAATTTACACTAATACATGACTTCTCGCCTCTGTTCTTTTCTTTTCTTTTCTTTGTTTTCTTGGGTTTTTTGCTTTTCCAGTGCCCCCCCCCCCCCATCGCAACGCCCATGGCTGGAAAGTTCAACTTTGACAAGACACAGGCGGGAAAAATGTTGCAACCTGACGCCACTTTTTACTTGATATATCATCTCAATGAAGGTCATTCATTGCGAAAATGATGATAAGACATGAATCTGGGACTGAGAATTATCTCCAATTCTGTTTGGAAATACTTTGAAATTTTCTGGACTCTCCATAGACTTGTACACAATCACGGAAGTGAAGTGGCGTCATCTCCATCTCCACTGTTAATAAGTCAGCAAAATATCCTGCATGCCGGATACATCAACGCTAACTTGCGCACTGCGTGTGGAAATAGACTACTGGTAGATATTGTAACGGGAATCCGGGGCTCGATATACCCAGGGGTACAACGAATCCCTAAAAAAAAACCGGGATTAATAACCAGGAGAAATCGGTGATGTATGGCTGAGCTAGTGCTTGACCGGGACCAGCGTTGAGGGCGCCGTCACAACCTCAGGACGTCAACCTGAACCAAGTGGAGTTCGTCTGGTAGCGAAGCTTTCTTCAAGGCCTCGATGACTTTATGGATAGGGGAAGGGTAAGGGGAGGGGTTGGACTATAACTTGGCGCGCAAACGCAATAGAAAAGGGAAGGCTGGGGTGGAGAAGGCAATTTGAGTCTGTCCTATAGGCCTTAGGTCTGGCTCTTAAGTCTTTCCCTATAAAGTCTGACCCTAAAGTCTTGCCTAAGAGTCTGGCCTAAAGTCTTGTTCTAAACCTTTATTCTGAGGCAGATTACTTAATTAAAAAGACAATAACTGACATAATTCAGCCAGGCAGCAGAGACAAGTGGCTATAATTCACAATCAAACTTCTTGTTTGTTTTAATCAATCACCATCAAATAATAATAATCAAACACTTCATCAGATTGGGTCACTTTAGTTTGCATACGCACATTCTAATTGCTGCCGCTTTAACACAGTGCGCAAATTGGACTGATAGCAAGTCTAATTAAGCATGCTTTGTGCGCGGATATGTACACACAGTTACACGGCGCATAATGCATGGGCTGTCGTTGGCCGTTGCTTCCTTTTCCCAAGCTGTGGACATCGGTATTATTCTTCTTCGTGCTTCGTCTCTTCTTATCTTCTTCTTCTGGCTACTTCTTCAATTCCTCTTGTTTCTGCATCTTCTTGCTTGTTCCCTTTTCTTATTCCTCTTCTTCTTCCGATTCCTGGCATCCGCTTGGTTCTTCCCACAGGGCTTGTTCTGGAGGCGAACAGCTAGAGCGCTCGATTGCTGTTCCAGCTCGCCTTTTATGCACTTTTGGCAGGGCCGGCTAGCTGAATATGGGTCGCAGTGAGCGCGCGCGTTCCAATAGGCTAAAAGTGCGCGTAGCGCGTATCGCGTATGCAAAACGAGTCACCAACCCTGATGATGAAATCTCTGCATTAGTTAAGTACATCATTAACCTGTGTACAAAAGCCAATAACACACAAACAATTGGTGCATTCAATAACACTGTGCACATACGTCAAATGCCTTGATCGTTATAAAACTTGCATATTAAAGTACCTGGAAGAAACAACAGTGTAACGCAAAGTTAATTGCTTCTTCACATCAGTATTCTATAAATACTACGAATATTTGGTAAGTCTAGTAGGTTAATGAAGTTGGATTTGAGGGCTGAAAATGGCCTAAAATCAACAAGTTTCATCTCCATTCTGTAGTCCGAGATTCATGTTAAGGAAACCAGACTATTCTCTAGTACGGACAGATTATTTAAAGGAAAAGCTGATTTTTGTCACAATATTATTAAGGGAATAACAGTGTGAGGAGCCGGTCTTCACTGCGTGATAATGACCGGGTGTGGGGGTGACCGCTGTTAATGGACCGAGACGAAGTCGAGGTCCATTAACAGCGGTCACCCCACACCTAGCCTTGACCAAGGCTATCAGCTTGTTCCCATACGAGCTTGTTCCCGCTACCGCACACCGCGCGCGCCGCGACACAATCACTAGTTGTACTATATACCGTTAGCCTCAACGACCCTTGCGTGTGCTTTGTGTGCATGTACGTACGCCCCACACACACTTCCGCAAACAGCCGCACAGTATTAAGTCGAGGCGGAAGATGGCTATTAGCTTGTTCCCATACGAGCTTGTTCCCGCTACCGCACACCGCGCGCGCCGCGAGACAATCACTAGTTGTACTATACCGTTAGCCTCAACGACCCTTGCGTGTGCTTTGTGTGCATGTACGTACGCCCCACACACACTTCCGCAAACAGCCGTACAGTATTAAGTCGCCTCGACTTACTGTACGGCTGTTTGCGGAAGTGAGTGTGGGGCGTACGTACATGAACACAAAGCACACGCAAGGGTCGTTGGGGCTAACGGTATAGTACAACATTGTGTTGCTGCGCGCGCGGTGTGCGGTAGCGGGAACAAGCTCATAATGGGAACAAGCTAATAGCCTTGGTCAAGGCTACCCCACACCCGGTCATTATCACGCAGTGAAGACCGGATCCTCACACTGTTATTCCCATTCATAAATACCTTTATAACGAAATAAACAGTTAAAATGTTCCAATTTTGTGACTTTTTTCCGGCGATATTTCCAGACTTTTTGTGTTCATGTTCATGGGCCATATTTTAGCTTAACAGCTATAACGACGTAAACTCAACAGAAACTGCTGCCGTAGCGAGACAAATTACAACAATGTTTTCATATCTTACCTGATGGAGGAAGCTGAAATCTCGTTTACACATTCCTTGTGTCCGGAATTACAAAGATGCTTGGTCGAAAGGTAAATATGTCGGTGGGTGAAGTGTTTCAAAGAAAATAAATCGTAGATCTACGATTTCGTCGTAAACATCCTCAGTATATACTGCACTGCTGTACGATGTCGTTTCAAAACTTCCTTACGCGCGCGCACGCACGCATCCCTAGCAACTGTAGGGCGTACGCGCGCGTCAGTCTCACGCGATGGGGGTTGAGCGCATGTGCAGTGCTCAATTGTTAAAAGTTACCGCAGGACTGTTACTATATTTTGACCAATCATTGGCTTGCATGGGGCTGAACGGGGCTTGATCAATGCTGGTTCAAGGGCCATTTATTCGCTTGATCTTTGAAGCCGGTCCATTATCACCGTTAATGACCGGCCACGTGATCGAGTCTCGACCAATCAGAAACCATCAACTCTCCAAGGTATTTATTAATATAGATTACTGATGTGTCCTTTGAACTCAGCTAGAGTTGCACTGTTCACAACCTAGCTAGCAGCCGAGGAGAGTGAGTTTCAGTGTTTAACAGTCTGTTGACACGAGGAATGAATCAGAATGAATCAGACGTTAGACAGGAGCCTGGCTCCGTGGATAACGGGTGATACTCAGACTACTTGTATCTCTGGTATTAGGCTGAACATAGTTGTGAAGTGGAATGTCGACCAACCCATTTTTTCATCTTGCATACATAATTTCTGTTGATTTCTTCTGTTCTGTAGTGTGTCCCATCCCAAGTCATCCAGAAGTTTAGTAACAGTTCCCGTATACCTTTGGTAGTTTTCTGTGCAAAGCTTTGTTGAGGGGTCCCATGCGGATGCAG